AACTGTTCTCTGGGACAATCAGTACTGACAGGTACCACAACACTGATGTACACTAGAGAACTGTACCACATCACTGATGTACACTATAGAACTGTTCTCTGGGACAATCAGTACTGACAGGTACCAAAACACTGATGTACATAATAGAACTGTACCAGAACACTGATGTACACTATAAAACTGTACCACAACACTGATGTACACTATAGAACTGTTAACTGCGACAATCAGTACTGACAGGTACCACAACACTGATGTACACTATAGAGCTGTTCTCCGGGACCACAACACTGATGTACACTATAGAACTGTTCTCTGGGACTATCAGTACTGACAGGTACCACAACACTGATGTACACTATAGAACTGTTCTCTGGGACAATCAGTACTGACAGGTACCACAACACTGATGTACATAATAGAACTGTACCACAACACTGATGTACACTAGAGAACTGTACCACAACACTGATGTACACTATAGAACTGTTCTCTGGGACTATCAGTATTGACAGGTACCACAACACTGATGTACACTATAAAACTGATGTACACTATAGAACTGTTAACTGCGACAATCAGTACTGACATGTACCACAACACTGATGTACACTGTAAAAATGTTCACTGGGACTATCAGTATTGACAGGTACCACAACACTGATGTACACTATAGAACTGTTCTCTGGGACAATCAGTACTGACAGGTACCACAACACTGATGTACACTATAGAACTGTTCTCTGGGACTATCAGTAGTGACAGGTACCACAACACTGATGTACCCTATAGAACTGTACCACAACACTGATGTACACGATAGAACTGTTCTCTGGGACAATCAGTACTGACAGGTACCACAACACTGATGTACACTATAGAACTGTTCTCTGGGACAATAAGTACTGACAGGTACCACAACACTGATGTACACTATAGAACTGTTCTCTGGGACAATCAGTACTGACAGGTACCACAACACTGATGTACACTAGAGAACTGTACCACAACACTGATGTACACTATAGAACTGTTCTCTGGGACTATCAGTAGAGACAGGTATCACAACACTGATGTACACTATAGAACTGTTCTCTGGGACAATCAGTACTGACAGGTACCAAAACACTGATGTACACTATAGAACTGTTCTCTGGGACTATCAGTACTGACAGGTACCACAACACTGATGTACACTATAGAACTGTTAACTGGGACTATCAGTACTGACAGGTACCAAAACACTGATGTACACTATAGAACTGTTCTCTGGGACAATCAGTACTGACAGGTACCACAACACTGATGTACACTATAGAACTGTTAACTGGGACAATCAGTACTGACAGGTACCACAACACTGATGTACACTATAGAACTGTTCTCTGGGACTATCAGTAGTGACAGGTACCACAACACTGATGTACACTATAGAACTGTACCACAACACTGATGTACACTATAGAACTGTACCACAACACTGATGTACACTATAGAACTGTTCTCTGGGACTATCAGTAGTGACAGGTACCACAACACTGATGTACACTATAGAACTGTACCAAAACACTGATGTACACTATAGAACTGTTCTCTGGGACTATCAGTAGTGACAGGTACCACAACACTGATGTACACTATAGAACTGTACCACAACACTGATGTACACTATAGAACTGTACCACATCACTGATGTACACTATAGAACTGTTCTCTGGGACAATCAGTACTGACAGGTACCACAACACTGATGTACACTATAGAACTGTATCACAACACTGATGTACACTATAGAACTGTACCACAACACTGATGTACACTATAAAACTGTACCACAACACTGATATACACTGTAGAACTGTTCTCTGGGACTATCAGTAGAGACAGGTATCACAACACTGATGTACACTATAGAACTGTTCTCTGGGACAATCAGTACTGACAGGTACCACAACACTGATGTACAAAATAGAACTTTATCACAACACTGATGTACACTATAGAACTGTTCTCTGGGACAATCAGTACTGACAGGTACCACAACACTGATGTACACTATAGAACTGTTCTCTGGGACAATCAGTACTGACAGGTACCACAACACTGATGTACACTATAGAACTGTACCACAACACTGATGTACACTATAGAACTGTTCTCTGGGACAATCAGTACTGACAGGTACCACAACACTGATGTACACTATAGAACTGTACCACAACACTGATGTACACTATAGAACTGTTCTGATGTACACTATAGAACTGTTCTCTGGGACAATCAGTACTGACAGGTACCAAAACACTGATGTACATAATAGAACTGTACCAGAACACTGATGTACACTATAGAACAGTTCTCTGGGACAATCAGTACTGACAGGTACCACAACACTGATGTACAAAATAGAACTTTATCACAACACTGATGTACACTAATGCACACTATAGAACTGTTCTCTGGGACTGATGAACACTGATGTACACTATAGAACTGTACCACAACACTGATGTACACTATAGAACTGTTCTCTGGGACTATCAGTAGTGACAGGTACCACAACACTGATGTACACTATAGAACTGTACCACAACACTGATGTACACTATAGAACTGTTCTCTGGGACAATCAGTACTGACAGGTACCACAACACTGATGTACACTATAGAACTGTTAACTGGGACAATCAGTACTGACAGGTACCACAACACTGATGTACACTATAGAACTGTTCTCTGGGACAATCAGTACTGACAGGTACCACAACACTGATGTACACTATAGAACTGTTCTCTGGGACAAACAGTACTGACAGGTACCACAACACTGATGTACACTATAGAACTGTACCACAACATTGATGTACACTATAGAACTGTTCTCTGGGACAATCAGTACTGACAGGTACCACAACACCGATGTACACTATAGAACTGTTCTCTGGGACAAACAGTACTGACAGGTACCACAACACTGATGTACACTATAGAACTGTACCACAACATATGTACACTATAGAACTGTTCTCTGGGAACACCACAACACTGATGTACACTATAGAACTGTACCACAACACTGATGTACACTATAAAACTGTTCTCTGGGACAATCAGTACTGACAGGTATCAAAACACTGATGTACACTATAGAACTGTTCTCTGGGACTATCAGTAGTGACAGGTACCACAACACTGATGTACACTATAGAACTGTTAACTGGGACAATCAGTACTGACAGGTACCACAACACTGATGTACACTATAGAACTGTTCAGTACTGGGTACACTATAGAACTGTACTGGGACAGGTACCACAACACTGATGTACACTATAGAACTGTACCACAACATATGTACACTATAGAACTGTTCTCTGGGACAATCAGTAGGCGACAGGTACCACAACACTGATGTACACTAGAGAACTGTACCACATCACTGATGTACACTATAGAACTGTTCTCTGGGACAATCAGTACTGACAGGTACCAAAACACTGATGTACATAATAGAACTGTACTCTGGGACAATCAGTGTGACTGGTACCACAACTGTTCTCTGGGACAATCAGTACTGACAGGTACCACAACACTGATGTACACTATAGAACTGTTCTCTGGGACAATCAGTACTGACAGGTACCACAACACTGATGTACACTAGAGAACTGTACCACAACACTGATGTACACTATAGAACTGTTCTCTGGGACAATCAGTAGTGACAGGTACCACAACACTGATGTACACTATAGAACTGTTCTCTGTGACAATAAGTACTGACAGGTACCACAACACTGATGTACACTATAGAACTGTTCTCTGGGACAATCAGTACTGACAGGTACCAAAACACTGATGTACACTATAGAACTGTACCAAAACACTGATGTACACTATAGAACTGTACCACAACACTGATGTACACTATAGAACTGTACCACATCACTGATGTACACTATAGAACTGTTCTCTGGGACAATCAGTACTGAGAATTTTACAACACTGAATCCATTGTACATCTTAGTACTTGTATCACAACAGTCAAAATTCCAAGACTCTTTCACACACTGATAATATAATAAAAACTGAAAATTCTTTATTTTTATCACAAACATCGACTTTGATGCAGCATTTTATTTCAATATATTGACAAACAATCAGTACATCCGGAAGCAACATCCAGTAATTCTAGTCCCTGTGGTATACACACTGACAGACCGGGTGATATCGGTGTTCAGCTAGTGACACTACATGTACATACAATAAGCCTGAACAGACATAGAAATCCTGTACATTTCAGGTTCCTTTGCTATTTATTATCTGTTCTGTTGTCTTTTGCATATACGTTTCCTGAAATTTTGTGGACATATTTCTGATGAATCTGGTCATGAATTAAGAAAACATCATTTTTCACCACAAATCATTCTAATTTCAAACTTGCAGTGCTTCATACCAGTCATTAGTCGCCCCCATATGCCTTTCCTTGGTCTGCATTTTGTAATCTATGACCTTTTGCAACGCCAAACGTGCAGTTAATTTAAAGACGCCATAAAGTAAGAGAGACAGGCTTAATGTTCTTACAGGATGATGCGCTCAGCAGTTAGTATCCTTTATCTCTGTTCAAGGTCATGTCACACAAAGTATCTCATGAATTTACCGTGAATTTAAGCACCACTGAGACTAGCAAGTTTTCCACGATCTCAGAGATCGGATTTGTGTCTCTCCATTACATACCGTAATTCATATCCAAGTTTCTCAATATACTTAGAATAGATATATATGTGTGTATATATATTGAAAATACACACACACGTCACAATATATATATATGTCAGCATTCATATAAGTTACTTTAAAAAAAAAGGGACACATTCTGTATGAAAATATATGTTTTTATTAACATTTGACTTCAATCTAATCATAAAAGATATCACAGATATACACAGCCATACACTGGTAACCTAAGTTAAATATTTCATAAAAAAGACAAGACTATCAATACAACACACAACAAGGAAATCATACAGTGAGAGAGACAGGATTGACAATAAGCATTCTCAACTCCTGTTGTAGCTTATACTGCTGATGGGATGACCAACAAACCGGCTGTTTATCCTAACTTATAACCACTTCTAAACAGTCTAGTCATTTTTAACTAACACTTATAAAATGCGTTGTTATTGTGTATCTTATTTGCTTCCACTAATAAACTCTCTTTCCCCTGCGAGTCTGCCTGCTTCCAGTTCTAAACTCTCCTGTGCCCATGTGTCTTATTTACAACAACTGTCTTGTCCGTGTCTTATTTTCTACAGATGATAACTGTCTTGTTGCTCACCACAGGAACTTGGTAGTTTTGGTACAATTTGCATTAAACTGAATTACTGTTCATATATTCTCAACACATTAAATGTTACACTCGGCGGGCTCACTTTCTCTGTGTTCTAACAGGTTCCCAATCATATACTTTTAGCAGTGGTTTGTGCTCCTCATAACTTGATTTAATAACAAATATGATAAATTGTCAACATGCACAAAAGTACTACTTTGACAGTTTAGCAGGACAGTAAGTGGTTTATTTGACATACATCCTAAAGTATGGGTGACAGTAGACTGGAAGTAAGGGTGGGAGAGCTGACATGTTTTGAAGATTCTAACAATTGTACCTTTTACATGTGACATTTAAACTAATTTGAATCTATTGTTCAGGCTTTCCTGTGATCTACACAAAGGCATCCTAAGTAAAATTACTATCTCTCCCTCTCCATGTCCACCATTCCCAGGGCTTCTATAACGGAAAACGGCTATCTCTCCCTCTCCATGTCCACCATTCTCAGAGCTTCTATAACGGAAAATGGCTATCTCTCCCTCTTCATGTCCATCATTCTCTGGGCTTCTTTAAAGGAAAACAGCGATCTCTCCCTCTCCATGTACGTCATTCTCAGTACCATCAGGGCTCTTTAAAGGAAAACGGCTATCTCTCCATGTCTGCTTCTACCATTCTCGGGGCGTCTTTAAAGGAAAAATTACTATCTCTCCATCTCTGCGTCTACCATTCTCAAGGCTTCTTTAAAGGAAAGTCGCTTTCTTCTATGCTTGCGTATATACTACAACAAAAATGACATAGAGTTTATATAATAGAGAGTTTCTATTTTGAAATTCAATTATTTTCTTTCTCCTAGAAGCAGGCCTTTGTACTGCCCTTGAAATTAAATAGAAGATAAGGTGTAAACAGAAAAATGCTTAACAATGAAATAAGTCAACAGGACACAAATTATGATGTGGGGAGAGGGAAAGGCATGTCGAACACTCCCACAAGAGATGTTCTGAGTATGTCCATGAGATGATATAATATTAATTACTTAACTCATTAGATAATTTAATGAAATAAGATTAAAGTTACACATATCAAAAATAAGACTCAAATCCTTCAAATTATCAACTTATGCTTAAAACGCCACCTGATAACCTGGCCCCACTTGTATAAAACATCTCAGCTTGAGATTTCCTCAAGTCGAGATTTTCCTCTGCTAATATCTCCTTGAAAATATCTTGTATGAAAATTCCTCAAGGAATTTCAGGACATCCTAGCCGAGGACTTCCTCCTGTTCCTTGAGGAAATTTTATACAAGCTGTTTTTGAGGAGATATCAGCAGAGGAAAATCTCGACTTGAGGAAATCTCAAGTTGAGATGTTTTATACAAGTGGGGCCTGGAGCCTTCCTTACAAAAATATATGCAATATTGATGATGACCAAAACCTAAGGCAGGGATAAGGTATTAACACTGGAAAGTAGTTATAGTCACACTATTTGCAGATATTGACAGCTAAGCAAACAAAATGATATGAAATTACTTGGTCAGTGTCTTAAAATATAAGCTGCATTTTGTGAGGGTAAAGGAAGACAAAATTTCCAAGCCTTTGGCAAGTCACTTTTGTCTTTCTGTCTGAGCCAAAATGCAGCTTATATTTAAGGACAATGTAATGTATTCTATATATCCTATAACACTTTTTTTTAAAATTGAGATTGTTGACACTTCAAGAGTTTGTTAGGCCTACTCTATTATTGTATTTCTGACGTTAACATTTTGCTTAAATGTACCTGATGCTGCACACCACAATAATTGCTCCATCCAGAAATAGTTTCCCACTTTAATGGATATAAAAGCAATAAACTTGTTTGTTACAACAAATCAAAATAATTCATTTAAACAGCTTTTTATATTTAAAAAAAATATCACTTGAAATATTATTTAAGTAAGACAGGAAGTAATGGTGTCAATGCAAGAGTAACAACACAATGTTCCGCACAGATAATGTATGGTCCACACAGACAATGTATGGTCAACACTGATAATGTATGGTCCTCACTGATAATGTATGATCTACACTGATAATATATGGTCTACACTGATAATGTATGGTCCTCACTGATAATGTATGGTTCACACTGATAATGTATGGTCCACACTGATAATGTATGGTCCACAATGATAATGTATGGTCCACACTGATAATGTATGATCTACACTGATAATATATGGTCTACACTGATAATGTATGGTCCTCACTGATAATGTATGTTCCACACTGATAATGTATGGTCCACACTGATATGTATGTCATCACTGATAATGTATGGTCCATACTGATAATGTATGGTCCTAACTGACAATGTATGGTCCACACTGATAATGTATGTTCCACACTGATAATGTATGATCCACACTGATAATGTATGTCATCACTGATAATATATGGCCCACACTGATAATGTATGTCATCACTGATAATATATGGTCCAAACTGACAATGTATGGTCTACACTGATAATGTATGGTCCAAACTGACAATGTATGGTCTACACTGATAATGTATGGTCCACACTGATAATGTATGGTCCACACTGATAATGTATGGTCCTCACTGATAATGTAAGGTCTTCACTGATAATGTATGGTCCACACTGATAATGTATGGTCCATACTGATAATGTATGGTCCATACTGATAATGTATGGTCCTCAATGATAATGTATGGTCTACACTGATAATGTATGGTCCACACCGATAATGTATGGTCCACACTGATAATGTATGGTCCATACTGATAATGTATGGTCCACACTGATAATGTATGGTCCATACTGATAATGTATGGTCCACACTGATAATGTATGGTCTACACTGATAACGTATGGTCCTCACTGATAATGTATGGTCTACACCGATAATGTATGGTCCACACTGATGATGTATGGTCCTCACTGAAAATGTATGGTCCACACTGATAATGTATGGTCCACACTGATAATGTATGTTCCACACTGATAATGTATGGTCCACACTGATAATGTATGGTCCTAACTGACAATGTATGGTCTACACTGATAATGTATGGTCCTCACTGACAATGTATGGTCCACACTGATAATGTATGGTCCACACTGAAAAACTGATAATGTAATGATCTCCATTCATTCATTACCTGTAACATTGGTTTACAAAACAGAACCATTGGAACAAATGTGCTATATCTTAATGCTAATGCACTTGTGCAAATACAAGCAATTATTGCTTGGTGGTTTGGATTGTGTTAATACTTTGTAAACAGGATATATGCAAGGTATTTTTGATAAAGTCCATGATCCCATAACTAACTAGTGACAGGAAAGCTTAGCCAAACATTATAATGATTTTCTTGATATTAAAGAGTTATTACATAATAGTGCAGAATTTGAGAGTGTAATGAAACTGAAGATAGACCGGTAATACAACATGATAAGGCTCAAGTAATTAATTTTGAATTGAATATAAAAATTCAAAACAATATAGCTTTCAATATCTTATTTTATCTAATATGATACTGCCTTTAATGTGCTGAAAATCAATACCCCATCTTAATTAAGCATGCAGTACTCCCGATATTAATTTGCACAAGATGACAAACTAGAATTGATCACATTCTAGTATTGCATGAAGGTAATCATTTTGTAATTTGATTTGATTAGTTTACAAAAACCATGACTGTATAAATTACCCTAGCTACCAATCAATCTGCTTACCTGTTAGCCGAACATGCCTTCATTTTATACCATGCTATCTCACAGGTTAATTAGCACCACTCATCCAAACAATGAAATTGAATGTCTTTATTTGTCCTTTTGTCACAGTTGGTGCTCTGTGGCAAGTTAATCTGATTGGTCTCCTGCTTGGCTCACATTTCTTACTTATAAGTGTGAAATAGGTATAATTTTGTGCATTGTATATGCTGCTCAAATGTACTTATTGCTAGTATAAGGCTTGTTTCCTGCTGTGTGCTATGATTCCTGTGTCGTCCTGTGTGTTGTAAGGCTTTTTTGTGTTGTTCTGTGTGTTATGAGGTTTGTCCTCCTGTGTGTTATGAGGCTTGCACCCTCCTGTGTTTTGTGAGGCCTGTGTCCTCCTGTGTGTTATGAGGCTTGCACCCTTCTGTGTTTTGTGAGGCCTGTGTCATCCTGTGTGTTGTAAGGCTTTTTTGTGTTGTTCTGTGTGTTATGAGGTTTGTCCTCCTGTGTGTTATGAGGCTTGCACCTTCCTGTGTTTTGTGAGGCCTGTGTCCTCCTGTGTGTTATGAGGCTTGCACCCTCCTGTGTTTTGTGAGGCCTGTGTCATCCTGTGGGTTGTGAGGCTTTTTTGTGTTGTCCTGTGTTTTGAGGTTTGTGTCCTCCTGTGTGTTAAGAGGCTTGCACTCTCTTGTGTTTTGTGAGGCCTGTGTCATCCTGTGTGTTATGAGTTTTTAACCCACCTGTGTTTTGTGAAACTAAGTCCCTTTGTTTGTTATGAGGCTTGCACCCTCCTGTGTTTTGTGAGGCCTGTGTCATCCTGTGTGTTGTGACCTGTTATGACCTGTGTGGTCAGAGGTTGTTTTTTCCTGTGTAAGAAAGGTGTCCTCTTGTTTATTGTGATATAAGAATATCTATAAATAGGCATCGTCTTATGTGATGTGAGAGATGTGTCCTCATGTGTGTCAAGAAGGTGTCTTGTGTGATATGAGGAAGTTTCTATCTGATGTGATTTGAGGTTGGTGGTGCTCCCCATGTGATGTAAGGTTGGTGTCCTGTGAAATATGGGGTTGGTGGTGCCCTGTCATATGATGTGAGGATGGTGTTGCCCATCCATTGTGATGTGAGGTTAGTGGTGCCCTTTCCCACCCCTTTCCCCATGTGACATGAGATTAACGTCTCTTATGTAATCAAAGGCTGATGTCCTGTGTATGTGAGGAAGATTTCTACCTGTGTGTGTGGTGTAAGTATATCTTACCTGTTTGGTGTCCTCCAGTGTGGTGTAGGTGTATCTTACCTGTTTGGTGTCCTCCAGTGTGGTGTAAGTATATCTTACCTGTGTGGTGTCCTCCAGTGTGGTGTAAGCATATCTTACCTGTTTGGTGTCCTCCAGTGTGGTGTAAGTATATCTTACCTGTTTGGTGTCCTCCAGTGTGGTGTAAGTGTACCTTACCTGTGTGGTGTCCTCCAGTGTGGTTTAAGTGTATCTTACCTGTGTGGTGTCCTCCAGTGTGGTGTAAGTATATCTTACCTGTTTGGTGTCCTCCAGTGTGGTGTAAGTATATCTTACCTGTGTGGTGTCCTCCAGTGTGGTGTAAGTGTACCTTACCTGTTTGGTGTCCTCCAGTGTGGTGTAAGTGTATCTTACCTGTTTGGTGTCCTCCAGTGTGGTTTAAGTGTATCTTACCTGTTTGGTATCCTCCAGTGTGGTGTAGGTATGGCGTTGGTCTACACTGGACATCATACACTGGTACATATACCTCTGTGACTTGAGGAAATCCCTGGTCAGTTCTAGCTGCTGACGTAACATGTCATGCAGGGCTATCATACTTGGACTGTAAGCTGTCATTGCTGAAGACAAAAAAAAAAAATAAACACTCTGTGTAATTTATTTCTTATGGATAAGATTTTTTCTCAGTTTAGATATTATCACAGAAAGCCAATTCTGACATTAACTACAATATTTTTTGACATTTTGACGTGGCAGACATGTTGAAATATCACTGAAAAGTTTTTACCTAAGTATATCTACACCAGTAATGGCCCCAATTGGTGACTTCGATGTAATAGATATATATTGTAAAAGCAACCTATAAATCTTCCAATTCTTGAAAGAAGGAGATCTTAGTCTACATGCTTGTTACTTACTTTCCAGCGTCTCTGGACTGACAACATGTGTAGCTATTGGGGTGGGATCAACGAAACCCATCCCTAGGGCTGGTCCTGGTACAGCCATACCCGAGTAGCGGGTGTCCCAGGAATATGTCAAACCTGGCTCAGCTGTTTGGACCTCTACACTCTTCACTTTTACACGTCCTGTCCTTGACTTCCTTACCTCTGGGGTATAACTGGAAACAGGACACATTAAATATAGACATGTCCAATCTAAATTTCCATACATTTCTAAAGCACATTAGGATATATTAAGTAATTTAAAATTATTGGTGATCTCTCGTAATGAATTATGAAATTTTAAAAAATCAATCAATTTAAAGAAATCAACACAAAATATCCTTGAAGCAAACCAATCATCTTGATTGTTATGTTATTGCTATGACTGTCATATGAACGTCAGAAATTGCTCTAAACTCATAAGAAATCTATTTTAAAAAATTGTTTGTGAGGATTTCTCATGTAAATACCAACAAATGATTAATCTGAAATAACAACAATGATTGTATGACAATTTTTACACCGATGTGATTTTGAATAAAACGTTGTACCTATATGATTCTGACCGGTCCGTATAGCTGTCGCTAATGGTCATCTCTGATGGCGGCCCTGCGGAGGTTCTAGATATAGTGGCTATAGACTCTGTATCACTAGCGAATTCCTCAGTGTAGTCATCTGCAGTGCCATCACTACTGTATCGTGTCCGGATCTCCGAACCAGACTTTAATCGGTGAGATTTTGAACTCATACCAATCCTTTCAGAAATACTAGGTTCAAAGTCCTCTGAATAGGAGTCTTTCTTTTGTGTACTATATTCCCTAGTTTTAATCTCAGAGATTATCTCTGTTACTGATTCTGGCTCTGGTTTTGCTCTTTGTCCAAACACAAACGGTTCATCTTTTTCTGTATGAATCTCTGAATGTGAAGATTCTGTCCTTATCTCCTCACTGATATCACGACTCTCTGACACTTCCCCAGCCCCCAACAACTCCTCTACTGTGTGCAGCCCAAATGAGCTAAAGAGATCACTTTTTTTCTTCTCTTTCTTTGGTTTTTTGGAGGCTTCTTTTTGTTGTTTCCTGGTAGTTTTTGCTGTCTCCCTGGATTTCCTTTCCACAGGAGATTTAGTCGACTTCCTCTGAACAGGAGACTTGGTTGCTTTTCGTGACTTTGTTTCAAAAACTACAGGCTCAAATGAATTGGCATCCATGAGATTAACTGGAAACAAAGACAAAGAAAGAATATTTCAGGGTAAACGATGATTGTAAATGGAAGAAATTCTTGCAAATTCACTGAAAGCCATTTCAGCAGGACCACTTTCATTCATATAAACGAATCAATTTGTCAACATTTTAAAAGTAACATTTCAGGCCTTAATCGGTAAACATTGATAGGAGCCTCGAAGAGTTTGGTAAGGGTCTGTCAGAAAGTGAAATAGGGTCCTTTATAAATTATCTCTTATTTTTTAGCAAAACAACCCTTGTCCATCTTGTAAAGCAGATAAACAAAAACGAAAATGTTTAAAACTTCCTGTTAATAGTTATATCAACAATTGTGTGATCATTCTCTCAATATAATGAAAGCCAACACCTTTTCACAAAACAGTTGATTTCCTAGTTCCTCAGATGACTCACAGTTACATAGATCAGATGAAAAGCACTTCACTTAAAATCAAATTTATACTCCTCCTAACCGATCTCACCCCTCTTTCCTCAAGAAGACCCTCTGTTTCTTTCCCATACCTTCTGTTTCTTTTCCCCATACCCTCTGTTTCTTTCCCCATACCCTCTGTTCCCTTTCCCCATACCCTCTGTTCCTTTTCCCCATACCCTCTGTTTCTTTCCCCAAACCCTCTGTTCCTTTTCCCCATCACTAATTGCTGCTGCAGATCACATTTGGTACAACTACATTTGAGAGAATATGAGGATTTTACATCTTTACCAATATTTCTCTACAAAATCCTTCCCATCAGCTCCCAAAGGACCTTGACACTTTGTTTATTTAATACAAAGAAAATGAGATCTAATGTCTGGCACTCCAGTTCGACAAGTTCAGCAGTCTCCCTATGGCAGTTTCCAAAAAGGAATACCAAGTCCAATACCAAGAAGTGTTGAGCAATACATTCCGAGGACGGCATACATAGTATGCCGAAACATATCAACAATTAAATTCCACTGGTAATCTGCGTAAGGTGTTATCTGGTGCTGTCTACAACGACTTTTTTTATTTGTTCACTGGAAATGCATGTCTTTACATTAAATATACAACTACATCAATTGATAACTTACATTTAAATCCATCCTCTGAACTGATGCTTTGTGCATCACTTTCATCTTTCTCTTCAATAACTTCACTTTGAAGAGAATCAGAAAGTACAGAATCATCAGATGACCTTGACCTTCGGAACACAGGGGATGGTGACCTACGGCTGAATTTTGGGGAAGGAGACCTGCGCTGGTTCTGTGGCGAGGGAGTTCTTCGGACAGCAGTGGGAGGTTTGGCATCTGGAGAAGGGCTCCTCCTGGGAGGTGGTGATGGAACCCTCGTTTTGAGCTTTTCATTGGGCTGTCAAGACAAAAATGTCTCAATCAGTCAGGAGTAGATTTAACTGTCACCAAATAATACTTATATATATATATATATATATATATAAATATATAAATCAAATAACACCTCAATTAACACAATGCATCATATACAGTATTATTGTTGATCAGACAGTTCCAGATTTGAATTACCTGTTGTAATTGTACCTGAGTTTGATATTTTTAACAAGTAACAAAGGAAGACATTTTTTTGACTTGTTCATTTTCCGAGCCTCAAACTCACAATCTACAGTACCAAATCTCCTAGCCACGAAATTCAAGATTACCTAACTATTACACCACCATGACACCTCCAAAAAATAGCTCCACAAACGCGGGCAATACCCCACAGTCTTATTATAAAGTTGGAAATGTGTGGTTGGGGTGAGTGGAAAGTTATCTCAAGAATGACAAGGAATGCAAATTCAAGATGGCGGCCGTAACCGCCATATTGGTTATCGGGCGGCAACGAAAAACAATAGGGTTGTATAGATCAATAGGCCCAACATCCTCAGTGAAAATGGTGACCACCGGTATTGTCGTTCTTGAGATAAGGAGCGGAATGCAAATTCAAGATGGCGCCCGTAACTATCATATTGGATATCGGGCAGCGACGAAAAACAATAGGGTTGTGTAGGTCCATAGGCCCAACATCCCCAGTGAAAATGGTGATGACCAGTGATGTAGTTTTTGAGATAATATGCGGTATGCAGTTGTGGACTGATGGACAGACAGACAGATGGACGGACAGACGGATGCCATGCGTGATCGCAATACCCACACCCTTTCGGGCTGTGGGGTTAAAAGGATGTTTTGAAGTTGTACTGATAGACAGCTGGAATTTTCTCAACATATCATTGTGGCGAATTGTCTAATAATGTGATATGAACACCTGGATCACAATGAAAACACATACATGGATATGAATTGTACAAACATATGTACACAATGTACATGTATGTACATATATTTATATACCAGAAGAACTCAATGACAAAGTCAACAGGTCGATAAGGCTATCTTCACACATTTAAAAAATCTCCCCTAATACACTTCATACTTCTTTAGAATCAGATCTGAATATTACACCTTCACTTGCAGATCCCTAAGAAATTGATAAGAAATATCCAAAATTTTCAATATAACATTTCAACAGTGACAGTGACCTTAACCTTGAGAATTGTTTGAAGTACAGCCCTCTACCAGACTTTCACATAAAATGTCATGGATTCCTGACAAGTTATTAATAAATGTACATTTATGTAGTATGAAAAAGGCTCTTCTTTGAAGTGAATACTCAGAGAAGTTTTACTGTATCGTTAGTGAAGATATAATGTCCCAAGCTGGAGACTGACTTAGATTATACACAGGTTTATTACAAACACTAAGATTTTATGAATGCTGAAAGTCACTGGTGTTATACTACACAAAAAGATTTTACTACATCTATTGAATTAATATTGATATCTGACACAAAAAAAAACAAATGTCAAAGGTTATGTAAGGAATAAACTTAAACTAATTTACTTAAAAAAAAAAAAAAAAGAAACAGCAGTTCTGTAGTTGCCTCATCATAAATGACTAATTGAAGAGGAACAACTCTTTCATCTACAGCACTACTGAGGCTTATTCATGTAATTAATCTGTTATAAAATCATCACTTTGTACTGAGAACAAACACCCAATTTGTTTGCCATCATTCATGTGTAAATGGCTAAAAATAATTAACAATACTATCTTTTTGATTTGAAAAGCAGAATTAGTATTTAAACCCAACACACGTCAAATATTGATTTAACTTCACCTCAAAACGGAGAGGATAGAAAATACAATGAAAACCCTAAAATTATTTGTTCAAACTGATATAATTCAATTCCTCAATGGGTGTGACTATAACAAACTAAACAAAACAAAAATTCCTGTTTCCATATTGTATACATAAATAGGTGCTGATATAATAGGTTAGATATGAAAGACTTACAGACCCATTATGTATCTAGGGAACTGTAATTTTTGAAATTCTACCAGCAGCTACGATTGTATCTCAACCGATTAATGCATGTACTAACATGACGTGAATTAATCTGGCAGACAAAAATTTTTTACAAATTAATGTTTGTAACTTCAAGTGTTCATCTTTCTTTCTTCTTTCTTTTTTTCTTTTTTTTTTTAATTGTCATTTTTCATAAAAACTAAGACGATAACTTACTTTGATCCTTTTCATGTATTCTTTGATTCTACCATCTTCAGAGGAGTCAGCATCCAACCCTGTAATAAACTCGGCCAGACTCTCCTCCTCAGATGACAATACAACATCAGTAGAATACCTCTGGGAACTTTTAAGAAGAAATGGAGATCCTGAAAAATAAATTTTACATTTTATAAGACTGCCAAATGATTCTTTAATCATCCACAAAAAGAACCATTACTTCTCAACTACAATAGGACTGTAAACAAACTATAATACACACAAATATCACTACCGTATTTAATCCCAAGACTAAAGATAAACATGCACCAGATTTAACAAATCAATACTGACATGTCTTTATAACAAATGGTATTTGAATGGTGATATAAATTACTTCAAATAAACACTACCTCGTTAAGTTCAGTAAAATATATTTAGTTACATGGGTCTTACAGATTTTAATAAAAAATAATATGTTTGTTTAATCTGCTTGAATTAAGAATGTAATTGGACAAGTGAAATTATTTAGAAACGTAAGTATATACCTGATGATTTTTTACCAGCCCCTGTCTGTTTTGGAACAGGGCTCTTTCTACCACTTGACTCTGCTTTATGTGGTACAGGTTTTTCTTGTGCAGCAGGTTGCTTCTTCTTCATGAATTTACCACCATCTCTTCCTATTTTGACACTGTCAGAAGACATAGATCTAGGGCTCGGACTGAGCACTCGTGTGTTTTGCTTTGAACTTGGTGTAGGGTTGGCAGCTCTTGGAGTAGAAAATGTTTCTTCACTGTCTGTTTCCAGGGTAAAAACATTTTTGTTATTGGCAAAAGTCTGCCTTCCAGCAATTTTTTGAGTAAGAGCAGCAGCCTTGTCTAATGAAGAGGATTTCTGTGAGCTTCCTCTCGGCTGTCCATATGCTGGACTTTTAGCTTGTTGCTGTAGGGGCCCCCTGGAAGTGCCAGGACGAGACTGAGAAGAAACTGTTGGCACAGGACTAGCTGCTGATGACTGAGGTTTCTTTAAAAATTTTGACTGAGGAGCTGGTGCAGAATTTTGTCCAGTTTTCTTTTTCAGAAATTTGCTTCCGACAGAGGGAGCTGCTTTTTGTCTGTGGGTAGATGAATTGGTATCCAACTCACTAGAAATGGATATGTCTCCTATGTCTTCAAAGTTTACTGATTTCTTATGTTGTGCAGTCTTCTGTGTAAGACCCTTGATATACGCCTGATCACATACAGAAAATACACAATGTCAGTTGTTATCATTTCATAAAGTCGATCAACATGTCACCTTTCACCGTAAGATGTTCAAGATAATGACAGGCACCAATGATCAAGCACAGAGGGTTAGAACAAAAAATGTGCTGGCATGTATAAAGGTTGCCTGGTGAGCAATCATACTATATATGACTATATGTATAAGTGAATATTGAACAGAAAAATACATTCATCATTGAAGAAAAACAATGCCTGGTTTATGAATTCAAAGTTTGTTTTTTTTTTTATAATTTTTTATTTTTTGAAGATTTTCAACAATACATGAAACATAACACATCAAACAGTCCACTCACACATGGCCATTTTCACTTAGGTACAAAGGAATGTAAATAGAGTAAATTCAAAGTTTACATTTAACTGGAATGGCACACCAGAATCAATATACATGTATATCATTTAATATGAATGCTTGAACATCTATTTTATTTTATCTTACTTCAAGATCATCTTCTTCTGTTGGCTTCCTGATTATGTCTCCCTTTAGCTGTGATGAAACCTTCTGTAGCAAAGCATTGGTGGATGTTGTAGATCTCTTCATTGTCAATCACCAAGTGGAACAGTCACCATAGGCAAGTGGAGAAATCTGAGAAGGGAGTTTGTACAAAAGACTTAACAACAAACATTATAAGTAGACAAAAAACAGGTTTGTTTTTACCAAACACTTTTCATCCAACAATAGGTATCAAGGTATGTAGTATCTTGCATGCAGACTACAACTCATACACTGAAAGCACACAACAATTATAGTCTTACAGCAGTTCAAACATGTTTAATATATTCCTATCCAGAGATAAAATAGCAACATACATCAAAAAGATTTAAGGTCATCCTCAAAAATCTGCTTATGCTTCATTGGTTCAAATATATGACTTGGTATGTAAATTTTAATATATCCTAACTTTTCATTTAATCATTTTTCACCTTTCAACCAATTCAACCAGATATGTAATAGTTGTTCATGCATACCTACACCATTTCTTTACTTCCTAATTTCTAGAGTTGTAAATATCATGCATTCAATGAATGATTGTGCATTGTTGACCTTAAGTTATATGTCTACTGTGCATCACTATAGTACTTATCTTATATAAGCACATTAATATGCTTATCCGAATGGTAAATACCTTTGAAGTTCAGCTGTAGCACAGTCCACAGGAATACATTGTATATGATTCCTGCTTTTCTAGTAGTATAATCTCTATATTATACTGATCATATTAAAATGCATCATACAGAAATTGATGCCATACTGGAATACAGGAATTTTTTGTACGTTTCATGACATATTTTTGGGACAGCTATACTTCACATACAGAACGTCCGATTCCTGTGATTGTACATTTACTACTGTATTGTCAATAAAATTTAGTGTGTTGTACATAGTCAAAAGAATATGTTAAATAATTAAATACGTAGATGCCGAGCACATGGAAATATATGTTGAATACACACAGTATATAAGTTTCTCTGTCTGCAGCATTTACGATATAGGCTAACTACATTGTCACAATAACATGTCTGGGCATCGTTGTGCCTGAACATTAAGTTCCATTAAATGCATTGATTTTTACCTGTTGTCAAATAGATACAGTTAACATTCCAAATATATGTAGATTATTTCCGTGCGATATCGTTTCTCCAGAAATCTTCATTCATGGAAAGAATGTCGATTACTTAAATATATACAATTTCTCCACCGCTTCGAGTTCAGAACCGCCATTTGTAAACAAATCGATGTCGCATTCACGTTTGAGTATCTGAATCCAGCAAACGCTTGAATGTTTGCATCGATGGTCAACGGGGACACGCGTTTTTTATTTTTGATATTTTTTTATTTTGCCTTTCTATTTGATTTTATTAACATTTATTTGTTTTTCATATCAGCTTTATTTTAGAATGTATTATTTGTACATCTTTTGAAATATAAAACATTAATATAAATGGTTTATAAAGATAAGTGTTGAATTCTTAAAATCTCATTGGACTCCTCCTCCTCCTCCTCCTCCTCCTCCTCCTCCTTCTTCTTCTTCTTCTTCTTCTTTGCAAATCAATGGAATCTGTTCTCTGTATAGTACACCATGTTACATCCACGGAGAGCTGGGCTATTACACTGTTGTAGTAATCTAAAATATCAAACCAACTCTGTCCAAGTCTCTATACATCTATTTTAAGCTATCACATATCATTTTATATATTTTTTAATTATCCGTTCATTTATTTACAAGTTTTTATCTTCTCAGTTTGGTATGGAATGGATGTAATGGCATTTTTTAATTTACTAATTCCGGAGTGTTTAAATCTATGTAAACTAGTTTGGTAATAGTGAGATGATTAGAGTTTGAAATCTGTTTGATGAAGATGACAGTGTTGTCATGGAAACGTCGCACTTAAATCTTCTATTTGTTGTGTTATAAAAAAAAATCTATTGCTATTGAAATTACCAAGCGACGAAGAAATTTACCGAAATAGTAAAATTATAAGTTAAATCAACCAAAATATCTCATTTATATTACATGATCAAATTTAATTGAAAGTATCAGTTAGTCAAAGTTTTTTTTAATGTGAATTTAAAGCGCTGACTTTGCTTTATTTTAGACATAACAAAAGTGCATGGGTCATAGCTATTTCTATCCGTACCTTAAATCGCCTTACTATTCGAGGATATTGTCGGACACACATTTTTTAAACTTGGCAGTACAGCAATATGCACGGATAACTTTCAGATATCTAAAAGGCATTGTTCTATATTTCTATATGGAGGCATTTTCTGGGAAATATATATCCTCAGACTCAACAATGTAACATAGCTCTTATTATATATTTCTGTACATAGGCTACATGAATCTGACGGTGTTCAGCAATACCACTCATCTAGTAAACGTCTGTCATGTTTGTTTGTTTGTTTTATCTTTAGAGTTCACTGCAAATGTTTTAAGGACATATTCTTTCTGTAACTGCAATCACCAAACAGCTAAAATCTAAAAAAAATCGGACATGTCTTTTACAAAAAATATTTGATCATTAAAGAGTCCGAAAACTTGTTCATGAGCTTTCAACAGTCTGTCCGAGGGTTTGTTAAATCGACATGAAGTGTATATTTTGTACTGAAAACTATGATAATGTCTTAGATAAAATATGGTTTATTTTAAGCTATTATGATGCGCAGTTGTACAGATCAGTTTGGTTATATATAGTGACTAAATGCCGAAACACGTCATACGTTGACGTGTCCTAGAGTAAGAAAGACAACTCGTGTTACACAGTTATGTATACGTGTACCAGCACCGTGACTCGTGTACGTGTACAACGTGTGTCTGTTTATATCTATGCCATTCAGACAGCGGTTTGAACTTCTGCCAGGCACTGACTATCATATGTACATGTACTTTGACTCGCTCCTCTAGAGGCTCAATGAACAAGTGCTCTCACTAAAATACCAGCATCAGCAGCACACGGGGAACTAAGATCAGCGTGATGTTATATAAAACCTAACCTTCACTGACGCAAGACTATGCTAACGTCTTTGAATAGAACAATGTCAAAAACTGTGCAATGAAGGCTGGAAAGAAGATCAATATCAGAAGTCACTGGTCTGTAATCATACAAGATGATCGGAATAGCAAAACATCCAATTATAGAATGAACAACACGTGAATCATGAACCTGGCCAATATATAGAGTTTTTTGTAGCAAGGTGCTTCGAGAATAGGACGGAGGAGTTGGCAAAGGACTCAGAATGTCTTCACTGTTTACAATTTTATTCGTCTGTCTGTTTACGGTAAGTGTGGGTCTATTTTCGTTAAGTATGTGTCTGTTTACATTTTTTAAATTACTTTTTTTTCAAATTTGTTATCTATCCAACTGTACCAGCAAAGTAAGAATTTTTTTCTACTTAACTTGTAATTATTTTGCCATAAACACTTTTTATTTTTTCTTTTAGATTTTGTTTTAACTAAATCGTTTGATTCGGTTTTCATGTGACGGTTATGTTACCCAGGTTCTGGAACCATTTGGTCAGTGACTGGTTAGAGATAAACAGTGATTAGCAACAAGTCTCAAAGACGAATCAAACCATATTTGAACCATTATTTATCATTTAACAGCGTTAAGTTTGTTGAGACAGGACAAATGGAAATATTTTTTAGGTTTTAAATTTGCCTTTTACACTCGTTTCCTTTAAGTGACACAATTGAAGTTTTTCACTAACCACTGATTAACTCTAACCACCCTGTGAACAACAGAGACCTACAGAGGTTACATCATACATTTAGTCTATTGTCAGGGCCTATTCTGTTATGTATACACATTAGACTTTACCATACATTTATAAGCGCAAATTTAGACTAAACAATGTCTCTTTAAGCTCATCATGCAACGTTTTTGGACTTAATCCAACTAAGGTTTTATAATATATAGATTGGTTTGATCATTACAGTGTTTATACTTAGTATAGAGAAAAAAGACTGTACGCGCTTTATACACAAAATAAATCTGCGATTTGTAAACGAAGTAGGTTTGGGAGAAAGCAGGTTGCTATCAAGAAAAGGACAGTTCACAACAGATCAATGATATCAATAATAATCATTATCATACAATACTGCGTGCTATCCTTGTCAGTTGCGCCATGAAGAAAAATCAAGATAAACATACACATATACGTACGTTTTATCACCATATATTCATTATATATGGGTCGTTTATCACTGCAAAGAGATGGCGGTACAGTCACACTGAACTTATCACAATCTTATTGTAAACTACTGAGTGGTTGAATGATGTAACGAGGTAACAATCATGTCTTCACCCCCACACAAGTACACCCATCACCTTACGATATACCGGGTTAATGAAAGTACGTCTACAGCCCTACACAAGTACACGCATCACATTACGATATACCAGGATAATGTACGTCTACAGCCCACACAAGTACACCCATCACCTTACGATATACCAGGATAATGTACGTCTACAGCCCTACACAAGTACACCATCACCTTACGATATACCAGGATAATGTACGTCTACAGCCCACACAAGTACACCATCACCTTACGATATACCAGGATAATGTACTTCTACAGCCCTACACAAGTACACCATCACCTTACGATATACCGAGGTAATGTACGTCTACAGCCCTACACAAGTACACCATCACCTTACGATATACCGGGGTAATGTACGTCTACAGCCCTACACAAGTACACCATCACCTTACGATATACCGGGGTAATGTACGTCTACAGCCCTACACAAGTACACCATCACCTTACGATATACCGGGGTAATGTACGTCTACAGCCCTACACAAGTACAACATCACCTAACGATATACCGGGGTAATGTACGTCCACAGCCCTACACAAGTACACCATCACCTAACGATATACCGGGGTAATGTACGTCCACAGCCCTACACAAGTACACGCATCACATTACGATATACCAGGATAATGTACGTCTACAGCCCACACAAGTACACCATCACCTTACGATATACCAGGATAATGTACGTCTACAGCCCCTACACAAGTACACCATCACCTTACGATATACCGGGTTAATGTACGTCTACAGCCCCTACACAAGTACACCATCACCTTACGATATACCGGGGTAATGTACGTCTACAGCCCACACAAGTACACCCATCATCTTACGATATACCGGGTTAATGTACGTCTACAGCCCCTACACAAGTACACCATCACCTTACGATATACCGGGTTAATGTACGTCTACAGCCCCTACACAAGTACACCATCACCTTACGATATATCGGAGTAATGTACGTCTACAGCCTACACAAGTACACCCATCATCTTACGATATATCGGGGTAATGTACGTCTACAGCCTACACAAGTACACCCATCATCTTACGATATACCGGGGTAATGTACGTCTACAGCCTACACAAGTACACCCATCATCTTACGATATATCGGGGTAATGTACGTCTACAGCCTACACAAGTACACCCATCATCTTACTTTTTCGATATATATATACCGTATCTATGGGTTGTTATCTTTTATGTACTGATGGTAGAGCTACAGCCTGTGTTCGACCATGGCAGTTCGGTGATGTACACCCATCATCTTGGGCAATCTCTTTATATGATTTTTGCAAGTTTTATAAGTGTTATAAGTCCCTTGTTATTTAGATAAAGATTTGGGAAAAAAATCTTTATCTGAAAGGCCCATCGTTAACATGGATATCAATTTCATATTGATAACTGTCAAAGGTGTTTTTTTCATATTTCTAAGTGACTCAACGGTCAACAGCCGTACAACTTTCTGTCATACTGGTTTTCGCTTCACTAACTTCGTTAAATATATTTCTTTTCTACCCAGGTAACTTTTTGTGAATTATGTTAAAGTGTCTTGTCTTGTGTTTGTAAGAGGTTTATTTCGCTGTTTTATTTTTATAACGTCGCTATGTCATTGTTTAAGTTATCAAAATCTGCACGACACTCGAATTTATACTTTTCTTAATAATCCGTATATATAAATATCATTAACATCAGCGCGATGTTTTATGACAAGTGTATTGATTTTGTCACGCCACGATGAAAGTCGACTATGCTTTTAACCGACACGGTTTGTTACACGACAAAAGAACATTGTTTCCTGAGCTAAGTTCCGTTTATATTTTGTTATCACGGCTTTTACAACACACTTTAGTCTTTACTTTGTATATTTAAGTGACCTGATTAAAAGAAGACTATTTCGTGCTAAATTAGCTTTACACGTTTGTCCTCCGCCGACCCGAGGACAAGAACTGAAGCTGAAAGATGAATTATTTATAACAGCAGTACGTGGTCGCTTCTGTAGTTACTGTAGTGTAGCCGACACCCGGGATACAGCTAATACCGAGGACACAGAGCAGGCAGGAAAATATCGAAGGCAGAAATGGTTTGTATGTTTTGAATATATGTAGATGAATTGAATTAAGCCGATCACTGTTTACCAGGTAACTTAGTCTATCGTGGCCAACATCCTGAATTCAGATGTCGGAGGTAGGTTTGTACAGCGACCCAGGACTCTCTACATAGATTGTCTATATCTCATGTTGGTACCACTTATGCCCAGTCCTGTGAAGTTGAGTATGCGTTTACCAGATGTGAAATGGTACAAGTTGAACAGAAAATGTAAAAACGGAACTCTCCATTTTAATTACGGGAGAAGTCTGAGTTAATAGCCCAAAAACGGAGTTCGTATGATGTTTTTTTTTTTTAATATCGACCAGCATTTAATGTGTCGCAGGTATTGATTCTTTACTGAAACATGTGGTAGGGAATATCATCATCATCAGGCTTCGAAGAACATAAATGTATGTTTACATAATTATACTTAATTATTATAAAATAACGATGTAGATTAAAGTAGCGTTTTATAAACAAGTTTTGTATCAATAACCATTTTATTAACACATATATCTTATGTACGTTAAACCATTTAAACGTAGCTTTTCAACAATTGTGTTAATAAAACCTATTGTCATATCTGTCCAATTTTAAGCTATTCAAATAAAAATCTTAGTAAATAGATAATCAAGCTGTAACTAACGTGTCCCAGTCACAAGTGAGAAGACACGAGAATAGGGCTGATAATCATCCATCCTTGACTGTGTTGAGTCATGTAAAGTTTTTAATTCACTCCCAAGTTTCCCAGAATTCTGTCATTCGATTAAGCCTACTGAATTATTAACCTGGCTTATATAAAGAATGTATTATCAGACAAGACAGTTCCGTTTGTGTATTGTTGTTGAAAGGCTTAGTCCTCAACACTTGATGACGATATGCAGACGATATGTTTAAATATGGGTTACACCTAACTTTGAGGGATATAGAAAACAACATTACTGGGTAGACGTGTCAATTTTCATCGTGTGTACTTCTCTAACCCTACAGAATGTATTCCCATACGCAGACGAATGTCTCCTTTGTTTCATTCTTACAACACCAGCATGATAATCATTCCTTATGAATGATTTTTAAATAGACGATGGCGTTCTGTCAAAGTAGGTCACGGCCAATGGTTCACAGATAATTTGAGATTTGTTAACCTTGTATAAAGTTCCCGGTTGAACACACCTAATTACTATAGATGTATTCATAAGACCTTGAAAGTGACAGGTCCTTGGTTATTTAAATAATCATACGTCCAGCTAAAATAATTCAGAGAGGCAAAACCTAAGAAGAGATGAAAATCATGATGGAAAATTTGTGTTTCAGAAACGAAATCTTGAAAAAACTGTAAGTGTGTTGTACATGTAAAAGTATGAAAAAACATCGCTTTAATTTCTGTTTTCGCTGGGGTTTTTCCATTTAGAAACAAACTACATTTCGGTATTCTTTTTGAGTGGTAACTCTTCGACCATGATAGTTTTTAATTCTGTTGTGTCGTTCGAGATTTCATGCATACGAAACCGAATCACTCTCCTTGGTCGCAAATCATCGGTAGCTGACGGAAGAACAGATACTAGGTAGCTGTATGACTACCAAAGATAGCTTCAGTCTTATACTTATTTCAAATATGGAAATGGGAAGGAACTATTTTCTTGGACTGAACGCATTTAATGAGATAGTAAGCCACTGTACCCAAAGTAATCAACATGTTTTCAACGTTGTATTTTCAGACAACCCTCGGAGATGCTCTCAAGTCGCGGATGCCCAAGAATTTCTCCTGGGTCGTGGAAGATCAAGTGTGTGCGATGGGGTTTCCCGATTCGCCTGAAAACATGATGTATCTAGTAGAAAATAACGTCCGCACCCTTGTGTCACTCACCGCCGAAAGACAGCCATTGGTAAAAGACTTTCCAGGTATATAACATATGTTACCTGGTGTCAATAACAATTGAAAGACAGTCATATAAAGTCTGTTACGGCCGAAAGTGAAGTTACAAGGGTTGCTTCCTGAGTGTCTTTCACGACCAAATGTTTACGGTTTACAGAACACATGGCCTTGTTTATGAAATTACAGTCTTGTTGCCATATTCATGGAAAATATAGTATAAATTAATCCCAATGAGCGCTTGACAATGCATGGTTTGGCTGCGGTGAAAACAGAACAAAGCGCCATCTTTTCCTAAACACATGATGTTATTTAATTCACAAAAATTTTTTCATAAATGTTTCTTTTGTTTATGTGTATATATGAAATATAAATGATAACCCAACATTTAGATCGATATTTCCTATATCTATGCACTGTGCTACCTCTGTTACCTCTATTAATAGCTAACATATTTGTATCTGGCAGGTATATATTTCTGTTTTGTTTTACTTTCAGAAATAACTCTTTTTCCTATAAAAGTGGTGGACTTTACTCCTCCAACACTGGAACAGATTGACCAATGTATAGACATCATAGAGAAGACACTGTTAGAAGGAAAGGTAGGCGGTATATCTTTTTGATTGGAAGTGTTGTGGTTAGGAGTGTTGACTTAAGCAAAGGCCCACGTGTTGATTTGAAAACTCAATGTACATCATATATTTTGTTTATTTATTGGAGATTTTTGTTTTTGTTTTGTTTTTCTGTTGTTGGATTGCGGAATCTAGTGAATATCATTTAATTTGGCGCAAATTGTAACGTATTATCATATGGACTATATATTAGCGCACTTTCAGCTGTTTCTTTATAAACATGATATAAAAACTGCCATTGGCGTAATCATAATCTAGAACAAAATGTCACTGCTAAAATATATACATTTAAAGTAAAGTTTATATTCAAACATCATCTCTAGACATACAATTTAATTATGCGCTGTAACTTAGCAAAGAAAGTAAAACTTCGAAGTATTTTCTGCCTATACATTTCCAAATTAACGATGGAAAATGCACTAACTTCATTATCGATAGTACCCGTAACATTTATATAAAATAAATATTGGGATACTAATACATTCAAATAACGTCTTTTATGAAACATTATTTTCTTTTGTCAAGGTATCTTAAAACAAAATGAACTATTGGAGCTGAGGAAATATTCAGCATTGTAGTCAATAAGGTATCTGGAAGTCTGAAAGTTTTATTCCAATACCTTTGTTATATTTCCTTAATGTTTCATTGAATTAGTCTCGATTTTAATTGTTCAGCGTTTAATACTGCGACTGTTCATATCTTACCTACAATAGGTTATTCGTGTTTTACTTTAAAAAATGAAGTTAACACCAACGTCATTGACTAAATTTTGACTCAGTCTGGGTGTAGATTCCATAACTCTTCCTCGAATGGATAGGCTAGTTTAAAATGAAGATTGATCGATGACCAAGACTACAGATGACTGCTAAACGAAAGTGTGTCTTTTTGTGTTTGTAACGACTTACCAACGACATCTTTGTAATATCTACAACTATTTAAAATTCAGGTAGTGAATTATCAATTAAGACGATCACTAGGAGTTTTGGTGAAATATACTGGTGACAGAATGCTGCCAATTAGGCACTCTGTTTCACGTAGTCTTAAAAAGTGGACTGAAAGAAGCGGTATCCCTACTTCCCGGGCAGAAGGGACTAGCTTAAGGACAATTAGTTAACGAGCAATTTTTGACAAAAGTGTACCGCCAGATTATTGAACATGTTACAAAGGATGCTGTATGCTTCTGAAATAAATGTAGGTTTAGTATTCTTACGTGAAAATTAACATTAATATGACGCTGTATTTCTTTTGATTACAGGCTGCCGGGTTGCACTGTGCTCACGGAAAAGGACGCACAGGCACCGTCCTGGCTTGTTACTTCATCAAGGAATTCTGTATGGAGCCCAAGAAGGCACTCGAACAAATACGGATATACAGACCGGGCTCTGTGGAAACCCAGGAACAAGAACAGGTCATATTTGAATATGCAAATTACATAAAGGTTAAACAGAAACCGAAATGTTGAAATATAACGAAGTGCTGTGAAAGACATTGATAGTCAAGAAAGGACCAAGAAATGCCAATTATTATTGTTGTAAATTATCTTGTGTTTTGTACATTCATACGTCATCAGTTACCTCTCAGTTACGAACTTACAGAGTATCTTGGAATCAACGAGTACAATTATTGTCCAGAATTCTACTCACAGCCATCCTCCAGGACCATAATTTGTTAATACTTTGGTTGCAGTTTTATCCTGAACACTTTTCTTATTTTTCGTTTCCTTATACATGTTGTTGAACTAGTTTCCAAGGAAAGAAGAAGTGGTTTGTCATTTATTCATGACTAGTTGCTGTTACTGTTTTTTATTGAGATATGAACAAGCTATATCCTTGAAATGAATTTTGTTGTGAGCATTGAGATAATTCTTGATAAAGTTTTCTGCTACCAGAGACATATCATCCCGAACAATGTACATTCCATGCTAAACCCCATTTGCTGTCTCAGGATGTGTTTAAAACCTCAAATTTAATTTGAAAGACACATATGTATGACGTAAACCTCTTTTTTCACATGGTAAATTATCCTACCACTATCTTCTAGCTGTTTAAAGGCTAGTTAGAAATCACCAAAGGTCGGTGAAGATTTTCAAAAACGAATGAAACGAAGTCTTTATTATTTAACAGCTGTTGATCCGTTTATACTAGTCGGAATGATTTATCTTTGAGCAATAATTTTGCTGTTAACGCCCATTTTTTAGTGGCAACAAGTTTGATTTTAACTGCTAATTAATTAACGTGACAAATCCTAGAGCAACGGGTTCTTTATACCAAATGTCTAGGTACCCGGGTGAAGGAGAGTAACATTGTATTCTTTGTTCACTAATGACTCAAATAGATAGACTACAAAGCATTGAATTATAAGCGCGTCACATTCATTTCACGTTGTTCTACAATTATAAGATATATGAATGTATTGAATTGTGAGGCATGAGCATTGATCCAGATTTTAACTTTTCTATCGATCACTTTGGCTTTGCCTCAGTATCCACCTAGGCGACCTAATTTAGACCATTAACATCACTTAGGATTTCTAGAGTGACGAAACAGCTGTATAATGCAGTTCAATTGTGCAATGGTTGAATCTACACTATCAAACTCTAAATCTGTATATGCTACAAAACTGTATTCACTTGTGTGTCTTTTGTACAATCCTCAGTGTACATTAAAGTATACTTAGGGGACCATTTGTAAATATGTATTCAGGATATATGATACAAGTCAAAGTCCTATTTATTTGTCTTTCATTTCTGGCTAATTTAAACTATGATGCGTTGTGTTTATATTGATGTAAATACTGATATCAACACTTGGCATCAGTTTGTCACTAGTAAGGACAATAATGCATTGTATGTATACATATCAGAATGTCAATAGGTCGAGTCTGTCAACGTTTTGAATGAACAGAAACATGAAAGATTAAGAGTGTTTGTGTATATTAGTAACTAATATATCTATATCTTCATTGGAGTAATTTCAGATCACGTGTGATTTCAATATTTTTCATGTCTGCATATGTATTTTTACTGTTTCATTACGGTGTTATTCTGCATTGCAGCACAAAATATTATTCTTTATATATTTCGTAAAAATTCTGTGGTAAAATTGTGTTATATATTTGTGTGGTGTGACAAATAAGAAACTCGATTACATAGTAATACAACTCAAGTGTCCATTGATTGGATATGTATGTATATTGGTACGGTAGGGTTTACCACAGTCCAACTATTATGGTAATTGAAGGTGTGATAATGATGTACTTGCCATGTTAAAGAAAACATATTTTTATTTTGTATGTACATATCATTATGCATTGCATTCATGTTATTTTTAGAATAAAAACATGTTTTATAAAATGTTTTGCAAAGTTTTTGAATAAAAACGAAAAAGTCACGTCTTTCTAAAACGTTTCTAAAACTATGTGGATGTGAATTATACTGTCTCCATAAGATAAACTCAGAACACAGACGTGTACTTCCGTGTGGGAAGACTATTACAGGGTATACATCAATACACGATATGTACTATCAGGGAGAACTACAGGGTATACATACATATATGTACCATCAGGAAGGACTACAGAGTATACATACTTATATGTACCATCGGGGAGAACTACATGGTATACATACATATATGTACCATCGGGGAGAACTACAGGGTATACATACATATATGTACCATCGGGGAGATCTACAGGGTATACATACATATATGTACCATCAGGAAGAACTACAGGGTATACATACCTAATTGGTTGACTCAGTCACTGTTAATATTTTATGCTCGGTAGTAAATAAACATATTTGTAATATTTACAGTGAAATCATAGCTTGAGTGTTTTAGCGAAAAAAGCAACGAAGTAGTGAATTGAAATACATTTTTACATATATTACCATTTGGAAGTATTAACCCTGTCTTTATCACTCACATCAGGTATAGAGTGCCAAACTAAATCGGGCGAGGGGAAATAACTCTGCAAAGCCTAGCGTATTTTGAAGAAAAAAAGCGATGTATTTAGCGATAAACACTTTATATCAGTAAAAATGGTTTCCCTTAACAAAGTAATGCATTTTTTTTGTTTTTTTTTTCACTACTAATGATAATGAATGGGACGCCTATATACAATCACTATCTACAGTCTGGTGGAATTACTCCCTGTAGTTTTATTAGAAAGGTCTTTTTAAAGTTATGATTTTGAAAAAGTTTATTGTCGTTTTGAACACAAATAAAAATATGTAAAATAATAACAAATGCGACTGTCAATCATACTTGCTTATCCATTAATACATCATATATATAACTAGCAGGCTACACTAGGATGACGTTGTTTGAACCTTACTGGTACAATAACGTGATTATTATATTATCCTGTACGGCGAGCCTATTTAGTAAAGTGAATGAAGGTCGTATTTATGACTTATGTAATATCTGATCGTCTACAAACGCTGACAAAGGCCTTTAGCTACATCGATTATCAACGTGGGACATCTTTATGGATGATTTGTGTATGATTCGTTTAACAATCGGAAGCCGCTGTTAATGTCATCGGTTCCTTTGCTGATATCAGCGACATTTCCGAGACCGCCTCGATTTTATTGAGAATAATTTGACAATGTTGTTTTCATCATAAAGAGTAAGGCTTATTTTCACATCCGTTCTTGTAAGTGGGCGTAGATGATAGGGATACGCGGGAAAACATGTACAGGTTGATAAATGTGTTTGTTGTCTCGTTGTTATTATGTAAAATTTATGAGAAAATATTATCAGGATATATAGGTTTGAAAAATAATTTATTATCAAGCTGTGTATATTGTATTGTCCATGCAAAGGAGTGCTTTGTTAAGTCCAAGTGCGGTGCTAAATAGTATCTATGCTGCGTGTTGGTTGAGATTTTTATGCTCCGACATAAAAAAAAATCTTAGTTATATATCACTCACAGTCTTCCATTAATAAACTGATACACATCACGGTAAAACATTGATTTTACTTCTGAGTATGGTTGTTTAACACACTTTGAGTTGTTTTTTTTTCTATCCCGATATTCACAGTCGATTTCCATTGTCCAGCTTGACAACTTCATTCGTTCTGGAAACCTTCTCACATTTAGTGTTGATAATGTCAAGTGATAGTTTTGAAAACGAGTAAGATCATTCTATAAACACGAACACATGATGGCGGGCAGAAATGACACAGTTATATCTCATTTTCAGCACTAGATTTTGTTGTGGGTGTGGCAAATGTTATCTTATAACGCTAAATCGATTCAGAAAATGATACCCGGTGTTCCGGAAGAGTAAGCGTCTTCTGTTGCTTCGATGATACCCACCATGTAAAACTTGGTAAACCCAAGTAAGTAATGTCACATGCTCAAATGAGAAAATACATATTTGTATCACATCATGATGTGTGTTGTAGATGTCAAGAATCGTTAACGTGTTTTTTGTACAATTCATCAATGTTGGAAATTGCGTTTTGGGAATGCTGCATATATTATTGTCTGATAACCCGATTATAAAACATTATCCAAATTTGATTATTGTCAATTTCTGGAGTTGCAACAGTGACAGTCATTCTAGGACGGGCGTCATCCCCAAGGCTTTGCATGCCACGCTTAAATTCCGCCATTAACCTTTTCACTGTAACATATGAAGGATTATCATTCCTTATATGGATATCCTTAGGTACTAGACCTTTAATATTATTATATTATTATTATTGCAAATATTGAAACATTGCTCTTTCAGTAGTTTTGTTGATTTTAAAAAAGTCTCTTGCCTTGTTTACTTTAGAATGTATCTCTTCGACATAAACTGACCAATAGACACCAGTTTTAATTTTGCTTTTTACACACTGTATTACAGTGGAAACAATTTGAATTTTTTACTAACCACTGGTTTATTGTAACGAACTTTTGAGATGGTGGTCAATGTATTTTGAGTAATGGCATGGAAAGACACATTCCATCGATAGGATTTGTTTACTTAGAAGAATGCGCAATTCTTTATTTATCAAATGTACAATTTATTTGAAAGACATGAAATAATAAATATTTATTTGATGGTTTTTAGAACAGGAATGTTGACGGATGCCACCTACCAAAAACACGTGTGTTTGTCTTAACAGATGATAAAATCTAAGATAATAGCATTAAATTGTTTGCTAACATCAATCTATCTTACTCAAAACAAACTCCGGGATTATTATCGTTTGAATAAACATTTAACAGATTTACCATTTTTTATATGTTTAATTATCGTTAATCAAATGAATTGATAATCATCACGTAGTATTTTCTCAAATACTCCTCACGAAGCATTAAGTTTCCTCGTTGGTATGTTAATTCACCTCAACTAGTTCCCAGTATATAGCTGAAACCATTTCGTTTATTAAAAGCACGTGTAGATGGTTGGCTATTCACGCGTCACAACACACTGTTTCCTCCAGTGATAGTTTAAAGCTTGTGCTACATTACGTCCAAGGAGACGTACTTGTTTTGTATATTCATTTTTATTTTAACAAATTGATGATTTATGGTTATTTTAATAGCAGGTTAATTGGTGACAAATCCCCGACCTGAACTGACGTAAAATCAATTAGAGAACGTTTAGAATATCACAAATGATTAAATGCTTTATTTTCTTGTACGAATATTTCGATAAATTTTGTTTCCAAGAACTGTGTGAGACAAAACATCTGTTGAACACAAATCCACTTTGCATGTTCCAAGGACACTATGCTTTCGTCATAACAGATGGATATATCGGTTCATTTATGATTGCACTGTTATGCACAGAAGTCTTTGTCAGACTGTCGTTTCTGGAGAAGAACCTGATTGAATTATTTCCAATCGAGTGAGAGATCGCTGTAAAGATAATATCGCTCGTTGTAATTGCATTGTGTGTTGTTCAATTCAAAATTCAATGGTTCAGGATTGGTCAAGTGCGTCAACAGGCGAACCCAGTTTTATTCACTTTCATTGTTAATGTTCTATGTGATTTCAATTTTTCTAAGAATTTGAAAATAAGAAATACGAATATACGCGTAATCCAGTCTTCCGAAATAGACGATAATAATCTGACATTTAGTCAATTTAGTTTTGAGAACGCACTCTGTTTATCAAATTCATTTTACTTTCTGTAAAACACTTTAAACATCATAAAAACATCGAACAAATCGTGCGTACCCATTTACTTCCCATCTGGGACGCCATTATTCATGATATTGATGTTTTGATAGTGGATGTAATTGTTTTTCAAAGGCCACGAATGGATTTGAATTGACATTAGTTTGAAATGAAAATTTGGTTCATTAAGTGCCTTTTTTCCTATACTAAGTCATACATATGACTTGTTATTTTACCTTAACTTGTAAATGATAAAGCATTATGAAATAGATATGATAGAAATCACTTTCCTTGCTGGCATATCATTCAAAACGGAGAGTTTAGGTTGGAGGGAGTTATAATAGTCAAAAGTGGTAACTAAATATTCGATACGTTTTGGCGATGTTTCAAAATCTACCGAGGACTATACTAGAACCATGTTGGAACCACAACTGACATTGACCGACTGACATATAAAACCACCCACACATTGTGATATATAAAACTATCAACACATTGATCAGGTTGATTTATTGTTATCGTCAGCAATGTTTTGAAATATTTTGATATTTTGAAGCAAATAACATAGTTTGGAATGGAGTAATCGATTTAAATTAGAGAGTATCACGGGTTCGTCTTAGTGATACACTAGTGGTGCCGTTAATTCTAGTGTACGCAAATTCTAAAACATGATAAAAACATTCTAAAACACGACATTGTGTTATCAGTAATATATCGACACATTTACTCAAAGATTTTGTTTTAAAATGGCGTCTGGAATTACAACAATTTTGTTTCAACACAGCCATCCCTGTGTTTAGTACAATTAAAACTTTTATTTAGTATTATGATTTGCCCTTTACATTTTCCTTTTGATCCTGTTGATAGCATTGTGATCAAATCAGCGCAGTGACAACGTAACGGAAGGCAGTGTGATCTGAGTAGAAGATGAAGATCTGACGTTGGAGAGGTGTTGGTTATACATAATAGTGAACTTGTTTATCAGCAATGATTAGCCAGGGCGATGCATTATAGAAAAAACTATACCAGTTTATTCATGTACATGATAAACACATGTGCTTGTTTTTCCTTTAGTATAGTCATTGACATTAATCCAGCAACACGATTATGTACATATATTAACCAGAAATCATATTTTGTATTTAAACCATTATAATTGCAAT